CTAATTTTCGGGGTTTGGCACCCTATTTAAGAGATCATAAGCCTCCTTTGGGCCTCCTTGCAGTCCCTTGAGTTATCAGCTAACCCTTGTTCGTGTGTCTGTGCTCCATTTGTGTGTGTTAAGCTTTAGAATAGGATTCTTGGTGAAAAGTGCTTGGAGATCAAGAGGCTAGAAGCAAAGAACGAGTAAGGATCATAAATCTACCTTAGTTGGCATCAAGTCGTTATCTTGAATTCTTCTCCTTCTAGATCTCATTGGGTGAAGTTAGGGTTTTTTCTAGCTTATTAAGAAACTTTCCTTGTGCATGAGCTAAGATCTGAGGTTGCAACTTCAGATATAAACTCTCTGGAATCCCTGGATCCAAAAGCTTCCAGCTTTTTTGCAAGAATAAACCTCCCCTTAGGTGTAAAACTCCATTCCAAGATTGGATTTATCATATTAAGCCTTTAGGGCCTTGCTTACACGTAAAGTTTGCAACTTTACGTGATAAACATACCTTGGGAGGCTGGATCTGTATTGTGGAACCTTAAAACGGCTTAAAAAGCATCTGTATGGATCAAGGACTAAAGGAACTCTGTGAGTTGCATGGTCAACTTGGCGAGTACGATGAAGATTGTCGTGGGCTCGGCGAGTCAATAGAGTGGCTTGGCGAGTCAGCTGGGGTTTTCCCAACCTTTGGTCACGCATGAACTCGGTGGGTTGTGAGGAAACTCGACGAGTTGGCTAAGGAGTTTATGGCCGTGGCTGGAGGTACTCAACGTGTTGAGGTCAACATGGACTGTTGACCTTGACCGTTGACTTGGACTTTGACCAAGGGTCGACTGATTGGCTTTTGGGACATTTTGGGAGGTTAGAAATTTACAAGCATGGTTTTACAATGAATATAGGTGGTGGAATTTATGATCGTGATCAGAGAGTTTGAGCTTATCTTACGAGTCGACAGCTACGAGGTGAGTTATCCTCACTATATCAATAGGGTCTAAGGCACCAAGGTCGACCCTTTATGGATTGTGTCCGGGTATGGCATGATATGTTTATTGATTACATCATGGTAGTTAGGATGGTGTTATGCTTATGCTTATCGACCTGGTTATAGGATAATGCTATGTTAGTGACCAATTAGGTCTGTATCCCAGTTATTGGGATGTTGCTATGATTAGTGATTTGTTAGATCAGTTTGACTGTTTTATGATATCAGCTAGCGTATGATATTTATGTGCACATGTTTGTTTGGTTGAGGGTTGGGTTGAGGCGGTCCTGCTTTGTGATGTAGGCCAACATATCCGACGAGCGGTCCGGATAGGCTGTAGGCCCTGTCAGGTGGTCCAGTCATGCCGAAGGCTCGGGAGCGGTCCAGATAGGCTGTAGGCCCTGCGAGACGGTCTAGTCGGGCTGATGGCTCATTGTGTATGATGTTATGTATTTGTTGATATTATATGATTATGGATATGTAAGGATGGTATTTTGGGGGCAACTCATTAAGCTTCGGGCTTACAATTTCAATTTATTGTTTCAGGTACTTCTGGTGATCGAGGGAAGGCGAAGGCATGATCATACCGCTCCTGCTGCTGCTATGTTTTTATGATTGGAAACTGGGATACTCTAATTATTATCATTTTGAAAACAAATTATGAAGGAGGGCCAATACTTGATAATGTTGGCAACTTTAAGTCCCCAAAGGCCCTGAGATGTCCAGATCTAAAGCCATATCTTCATATCATGCTCAAAACCAAGAATAGTACTAAACCATGCTAATAATGGCCATAAACTTTCATAGAAGAAGATCTAAGCATTGGAAGTTCAACGTTTTGACTTTATACCTTAAAATGGTTGCCACAGCAGAGTAAACACAGGATCTACAACCTCTCCCTTCAGCTATGCACCAACCACTTCAAGCTTCTTCACAAAACACCAAAAAGGCACTCTTTAAGCCCTCACACACTCAAAATGGGAAATGAGACACAATTTAGGGTCTCTCTAGACGAATGGGGTGATAAGGGAGGTTATAAGTGAGGCTTAAGGCATTTAAATAGGGTGCAAACCTTGAAAATTAGGGTTTTCCTTTCCAGTGTCCATTCGTCGAGTTGGGGCCTTCCAATTCGTCGAGTAGACCCTTCATTCCGCGTCCAAAATGATCTCTACTCGACGAGTTGGAACTCCCCAACTCGTCGAGTTCCAGCTCAAAAGTCTACAAATGTTGAAAATTGATAACACATAAACCAAGCGTTGCAAGATATCTTCTATTGAGGCGAGTCTTCTCACCATCCTAGTCAGAATGCACCAACGTCGGCCCACTGATTTGTATGTGTAGGATGTATGTGATTATGTGGCTATTATCGACATGATTGTATGAATTATGCATGGAGCCAATATGGACTCAGAGTCATTATGGACTCGGGGTTGATACGAACCTGACACAGCTACTTGATGTCATATGGGGTTGATACAGACTGTTGTGTGTGGTATTTTGGGGGAACTCACTAAGCTTTATGTTTATGGTCTAAGTTTATGTTTTAAGTACATTTGGATCAGTAGACAATTGTTCGGCCTGATCACAACACATCCACCCGTGTTCAACATTTTTATGATTTTTTAGACTATACACTGATAATTATTTTCACATTGACATACTTTTGTTGGGTTGATATGGATATTTGATGATTTTGATTGGCTTAAAAATAATTTTTTTTACTTATGAATTTTGGCACATTACATAATGTCTTTATCACTAGGTTCTATGATGCGATCAACAACGTAAAAATCGATATATTTAGTTTGAAATAATTCATGTCATGTGTCATAGTTAAACCATCTAGGTCAATGATAAATGGTATGTTGGTTTTAATATTAGTAATTTCTTGTGAATTTTCTATTTAGAAACAAGAGGTTGATCATTGACGTGCCACGTAATCCTTTAAGAGGGAAGTAGACATTATGCTGTTAGAAAGAGAGAGATTTTGTAGAAAACGGTAGGTTTTATGACATGGAATAATGATCGATTTCAATGTTCAAACAAGTTACAATACTTGTAGACTAAACAAAACCACATAAAACAATTGGCTTCAAAGTTCAAGCAAAGATGATTAAAAAAAATTAATTACAATATGATCACATATTAAAGTTTAAACATATGACGTCATAAATTAATAATTATATATAAATATCTAAATATAAATCATAACAGGCAATCAAGTAATTTAAGGTTTTCCAAATTATTAAATAAAAATTAGGTTAAAAGTATAAACTTACTTTACATTTGTTGATTGGAAGCCTAAAGAGTTGGTAACGAGAGAGAAGTGGAGACAAGAGAGTAATAGAAGTCCTTTTGATTTTTAGTCTTCTTGCAAACGATCGTTGCATACAACTACTCATTTTCTAATTTTTGGATTGTAGTTACCCACTTAATTTTAATTACCATAGAAAATCACGGTTCACCATTTCACATATATTCATTGAGGGCCTACCTTTATAGGGGTGATATGTCTTTGATTTTACGAAATTAGTTTATGATATGTTTTTTACTATGTAGTCCTTTTTTTTTTTTTTTTTTTTTGCAAAATACATCACATATTTACAAAAAAAGAAAAAAAAAGTAATCAAGATTAGGTCAAATGGTAAACAAAAACAAATTTATATGTTAAAGTAATTTCATAAAATTTCTTACAAATAAAAATATCGTTTTGTAGTTTGTAACACGAAAATTGATTCATTGATTACCCACTCTAATGTTGGGCTTAGTTAGATTGGGCTTTACAGTGATATAATTAACGTCATATATAGGCTACTGGTGCTAGGCTTTTAGACAAAATCAACATTAGAAAAATAGTAATAATAACAGAAAAAATCATTGTCATCTAAACCAAAACGAAAAATAGAAATAAAAATTTGGTTTGGTTGGGTAAGGGTTTCCAAACTAAAAATAGCGATTTTAGTCTGACATAAATGAATGTTTTCTACGATAATTCATGGAATAGTTTATTTATTTATTTCAATTTATGAAATGTTATTTTGAATTAATTTTTTTCTACATGTTATTTTATGAGTTTTTTTATTTTATTAAATTTTATATAATATTTTAATATAATAATTGTAATAAAATAGTAATAAATGGATATTAATTTCACTAATAAACTTACCTTTTAATTTTAAAATTCTCAAAATTAAAACTCATTAGTTTCATTTATTTATTTAAATTATTTGTTTAAATATAAAAGATAAAAAATATTTCCTTTATAATAAATCATTATTTTTCTTATTTTCTTATAAATTCAACGTTCTTAAATATTTTAACATATATATATATATATATATATATATATATATATATATATTTATTTATTTATTTAAATTAATCTATATAATATATGAGTCTCACAACTAGTATATTATATATCAACATGGTTTTCTAGGACATGGATTCCAAATCAAAAGCTTAAAGCCAATATTTAAATCGCTTCGTAGATATTGTTTATCATTCAAGTCCATCAATTTCCTCTTTTAAAATAAACTAGGGAATAATCCCGCATTCCGGGTGGTGGAGTTACGGGGGTTGGAGGGTTTCTTTGTATTAGAATTGTGAAATAACTAATGAGGTTTCTGACTTTCCGTTATTTTTCGTCTGTTTTTCAAAAGTATACAAATTCATATACAAACATATTGAAATATCTAGATCTAAGATTATTAGTAGTCTCACATTTAAAAGGTAAACGACTACATAAACAACCCAACCTTTCAAAAAGATCTAAATTTGCAACTGAAGTCATTTACATCAATTCCGTTTGTTTTCCTAAAGTATATATAGTCATGCACTAACACTTTAAAGATCTAGATTAGTAGTTAGCATTTAGGAAAATGACGAACCAAGAAACCAACCATAAAACTTTCAAAGGTATCCAACTTTGAAGTAGATGTCATTCAAATCAATTTCGTTTATTATTTTTTTTTTCAAAATATACATATTTATACATACAAATATTGAAAATCTAGATTATTAGCTTCATGTTTTAAAAGGGAAACGAACTAAGAAACCCAACTTTAGACTTCAAATAAAGGGAACAAATTGATAAAGTCTTTGTTGCAAATTCTTATTCCAGACATTAATTGTTGCTTTCTTTTTCCTCACAGGGATTTGCAGTCTTATTTTTCCGATCTTACCCTCTTCTTAACCCCTGATAGTAAGACCTTTAATGTATTTGTGGATAATCGACCATGGCTGAAAGATCTAGCTTCCAGATCTGTACATCTATGATAGTTGATGGTTACCAAGGTATCATAGATCATATATTCATAATACATATATGATGCTATAATTAACTTACATTTATGTTCAATGATTCATGATTTTTCTTTTTGATTACATCTTCAGTCAAGGATGTCCCCTTTTGCAAACATAAATAACCACTCTTTTTTTTTTTTTTTTTTTTTTATATATAAAAAATAATTCAACTTTATTATATTCATTTTCATTTTTCCAGAGATCTCTTCTTACAGGAGGGGCGAAAGGTGGAATCCATTCAACACATTGTTATGGATTTCAATTGAGTTATTATTCACATTAGGACAAATTATTGTTGCCATTGTTGTCTTATCTAGATCACAACATGAAAACCCATAAAATCCTTCATTTTCTTGGGTTATTGGTTATGCCGCCGGGTGTGCTGCATGTCTGCCCCTGCTATATTAGCGGTATCTTCACAGAAATCAAGCTTCCGGGCAGCGGTAACCTCAGGTTGGGCAGCCACGTTCAAAAAGGAACACTCCACCAGAACTAAATTCTTACATAACAATCTCATTTGCTCCCTCTTCAGAAGAGAAAACTCATCAGAGTACTACTACTACAACATCTTCAGATGCTTGGAATTGTTTAAATGTTGTGGGTTCAAATGTCAGGTAATTTACAGCTTTGCCCTCAACTGCTACATGATTATTAGTCCGTCTTTTAAAATGATTTTCCCCTTGAAGGATTAATATGCTAGTGGACCATTTCAAGAAGGTTGTAGATTGCTTCTTTGCTGTATGGTTTGTAGTTGGCAATGTTTGGATCTTTGAGAGCAGTTATCTTTAGTTGATGCTCCCAATTTATACAGGTGCTACTCTTTGTTCTTAAATGACCATTTTACCCTTGTATCTAAATATTATTCCTTCAACTTGATGAGACAACTTATAGTTTTTCTTGGTTGCAGGTTAAGTATAGTTTTCGTTGCCATAAGTTGTATCGGGTCTGCAATGCCTTTCATTTTGTGTGGAATGATATGTTGTTACTTTCTTTGTATTGTTTCTATCCTTGGAATCCATGTGGATATGAATCAAATCAGAGGAGCAAGTAAAGACTCCATTAATTCTTTCATTTTACAACATTCGTTGAATCAAACATTTCATCGAACACCTGACATGCAACTAAGATCATGCATAAATCCTTGCAAGATACAGTTAGAATGAAGAACCATGTGATAAGCTAAAAGGAAAATAAAACTCAATAGAAAAGAAAAAGCATTATCACAAACATCAATTAGGAGAAGCAAAACACGAACTTGCTTAAACCGTTTCACAACACCCATCTTCCTCCTCTTAGCTCCAACTGATTTTAAAGCATTCACATTTTCGACATGATTTGACGAACTGGCCCCTGCCCCTTCACCAGAACGATATTCTTGGATTTCTAAAGAAAACTCATTTTCCTTTTCACATAAATGCTTTCATTTTACAACATTCGATGAATCAGACATTTCATCGAACACCTGGCATGCAACTAAGATCATGCACAAATCCTTGCAAGATATAGTTAGAATGAAGAACCATGTGAAATTTTAATAAGCTAAAATGAAAATAGAACTCAAGAGAAAAGAAAAATCATTCTCACAAACATCAATTAGGAGAAGCAAAATACGAACTTGCTTCAACCGTTACAAAGCACCTGTCTTCCTCCTCTTAGCTCCAATTGATTTTAAACCATTCAAATTCTCGAACTGATTTGATGAACTTGCCCCTGCCCTTTCACCAGATCGATATTCTTGGATTTCTAAAGAAAACTCATTTTCCTTCTCACAGAAAAGCAGATTCTATAAAAAAGGAAAACCTCTCTTCAAATGCATCGATGACTTTCGAACATGATAGAAGATTCTGAAAAGGTTCCCAAGTGTTAACTGCCCTGGCCATCAACGCCTTCCAAGAAAAAGATTCATTTGATTCAAAATAAGAATGGAAATTCAGTAGAAAGTAGAAACCATACCGATGATCAAATCTAAGTTAACATTTTGCAAGATTTCCAATTTACAGGTTATAACTTGTTGATGTGTGCGAACTCAACTAGTTTTAATCCAACTTTCTAAATATAAAAGTAACACGCAAAGGAAGTGAACCTATCAATTGTGGTGTAGCTAAATAAGTAGGGTATCGAACTCAGGGAACAACAAATTAAATTATTTACTAGAATTATCTAAAGAAACAAATAATTAAAGGAAGGGTTTTCTCTCGTTTTACAAGACTAGAAACTTAAGTAAGCTAACTAACACACAATTTAACTAATCTAACAACTAAACAAGAAAATACCACTAAATTCAATAATTAAAAGGACTTCTGTTTAGGTTCGAATCATTTGTTCCCATGGATGATTTAATGGTGAATGTATCAGATTAATTCTTCATTGGCTACCGATTAAAGTGATTAGGTTCACATTCGCTATTGTTAATCCTTAGAAAACATATTAATTCAAGCAATGGCCAGTTGTCTAAATTAATGAATTTCCTAGTTTATTGATTCATGTTAAGTAAGACTTGTAACTAGATAATCAAATTGGTGATTCAATTAACCTCTTTTCGATGGTGTATCACACAAGCTCATACATTAATTTACTTATCTTCTAGTTAATTCTAGTTACTATGTGGTCACATAAATCATATGAAATTCATAACCAAGAGATGTTCATACAACTTAATTACTGATTTATTAACAGAGAATAATTATTATTAGCATATGAGGTTCTTTAACAAGCTTAACAAAACAATATCACCGATTAAAATTAACCCTAACCATAGAATCAATCCATGTTTACAAACTCATCTACCCTAAACAGAACTTATGATTTTTTAGCTCTTGATAACACTAAAAGCAGATGCAAAAACGAATTTAAATAGTTCCAACATGATTCAAGCAAAAGGTTTAATAAGAATAAACTAGATTTGCCTTAATTCTCTTCGAAATTGAACTTAGAATTGATTCCTCAGCTTCTCACCGGTCTAGCAGCACTTTTGATCGCAAGTTAAGCCACCTAGGGTTCCAGAGAAGTCCTTATCTCGATCCCAAAGTCCCTATTTATAATTTTCTAGAAACAGAGGTTACTCGTCGAGTCAAGGTCCCAACTCGTCGAGTCCTTCATTAAAAATCCGTGTACGGCAAGGAATATTGGAGCTTCGCGAATCTTCGACCTGACTCGTCGATTCATCGGTTGACTCGTCGAGTCCTTCTTGTTTTTAGCATTGTTTCTTCTTTGTTTCAACACCCAAACTTCCCCTACTTCCTTTTACTTCCAAGCTTCTCTTTTGTACTGTAAATACAATTTAAACACTATTAAGTACCTTTTGTCCCAAATATGCAAATATTTAGCTAATAAATAAGAAAATCTACACTATATATATAGCTAAATATGCACTTATCAAAATACCCCACACTTGACTTTTGCTTGCCCCCAAGCAAAACTGTATTTTAGCACACTAATATCCTATAAGACAATCCCACTCAAACCCAACCATTATGCCAAAACCGCAACACATGCATTTGTATCTAAATTTGTCCTAAGGACCCCCCCTAATTCTAAATACTCACAATCCTCATAAACATTCACTCACTTTTTCTGAACAATGTTCATTTTATGCATCCCTCTAAATCCATCCGCAGAAAACCTCCTAACCTCAAAGTATTTTTGGTTGAGCAACCCAAACATACATAGACTAGAAAATTATAACTCTTTATGATACCACTATGGAGCTCTTTTGGAATTCTTCATTCATTTTTTTTTTGATATTTCACCATCTTTTTAATTTTTGGTATCTTCACTTTTTTTTTTTTTTCCAGAACTTTGATCTTTTCACTTTTGACTGCTCCAAAATTCTTACAACGTTTTCTTGTAATTCTCCATTTTTTTCACATGTAACTCATTTTTTTTTTCACTCAAAACCTACATGCTTAAGCAGGGGCTCTCAACTTCAACCTTTATTGGTTAAAGATAATAATTTTCCTAGATACATTTCTGCTACACGATGCTAAACATATTGCATCCCTCAAACTAAACGAGGTTGTGTTTTTGTCCCATGATTTCACTAGAATAAAGGAGGCCACAAATGCATTATAACGTATATAGGCTTAACTAAACATTTGGGTCTTCAAAGAATCATCAAACATAATACTAGCATGAACCCTAACTGCTTTTACCAAAATTTTCTAATTTAACCCTAGCAATTTTAATGCAAAAATTTCATAATTTATCTAAGATTCTAAATTTTGACTAAATGTAACCAACCCCTACCCCACACTTAATTTATGCAATGTCCCTATTGCATATCATGAATGATAATGAAAATAACCAAGTAAAAAAATTGGGACAAACTTCCCTGGGATAGTAGTGGCGAGGTTGATATTTCTTCTTTTAAAACTCCTACTTCAATCGACTTTAGGTATGGGAACAACTCATCAATGCCTTGGGTGTCATATGTCTCGTCCGGTTAACTCAAATATGCAGGAAAATTCCTCGGAAAATTGCAGGAATTGATCTTAAAAATGCAGCCAGTTGTTATACGGAATCATCACCGAATCATAAGCTGGAGAGATAAAATACGCATTAACTCGTCGAGTATGGTAGGTGACTCGCCGAGTTATAGCGTGAAAAGTCAAAATTCGTGAAACTACACTGGGACTCGTCGAGTCATTAAGTACACTCAGCGAGTCCATCGTTCGGTGATAAAATATATTCTGCCCCAAAGTTAATGCTGATGTGTTTGGAAATTGATCATTAGAAACTCTCTTATTTTTCCCTTTTCAAAAATCAGACAGTTTCCAACTCTTCTTTTAACTGGACTCTAAACTCGGATCCGTTCTCTCGCTTGGACTTGACACTTTTATCACTTTCGAAATCCCTTGCATGCAATCCTTTTGTCCAAATTTTGAAAAGACTAAAACAAACATGTAATAAAAAGAAAAACACACAATAAGAAAATCCTAAACTACTTGTCCAAATCAACAAAAGCAAACAAACACAAACAAGATCAACAAAAAAAAAAGATTGTTTTAGCAACCAAAATAAAAAGGATAAAACTTCAATCTTCATCTTCTTCCTTGTCATCCTCTTCATCATCATCACTGCTCTGCCTCCGCTTGCTCCGCTTCTTCTTGTGTTCATCTTCTCCTCCTAAGTAGACACATAAGGAAATTGGCCCCCGTCCACGTGTTGAATGTTGAAGTGATCAAACATTTGTATTCTCCAAAACCGTCCACCCTCATGGAGGAAGGTTCTGGAGCCTCTTGTTCAACCATTGGACAATTACAGTTAGACCCCTACACTTTTAATTAATCCAATTAATCCTAAAATTAATTCTAATCAATTTTTTTTATTAATTCTTAATTAAATAATGTTGTTTCTAATTAATATATTCTTCTCATAATATATTAATAAATCATTTATTTTGATTTCTAATTAATTTATTAATCATATAATAAATAAACCAGTCTCCCTTTCCTAGAAGTATTATAGTCAGTTATTAGGTATGAGAGCAACCCAAAAAGAACTTTGCTAATAATTTAAGATTATACTAATTTAGTTTTTGGCTTAGACACCAAATCCAACATTTATAAGTCGAACCATCGCATCGACAGATGGTGACACTAAATGATGCCAGACCATGGTGATGAACCATGGTAGCTTTATTATGTCGAACGATGACGAGCAAATGGTGACTTGCTATGATAAAACATGGTGATAAGCTATGGTGGCTTTATAGGTCGAACCATGGCATCGACAGATGGTGACGCTAAATAATTCTAGACCATGGTGAGGAACCATGGTAGCTTTATTATGTCGAACCATGGCCCTAACCCGATGGTGAGTCGTTATGCCAAACCATGGTGATGAGCCTTTGTGGCATTCAAGGCCGAACCATGACATCAACAGATGGTGAGACTAAATGATGTTGAACTGTGGTGATGAACCACAGTGGCTTTGTCGTGTCAGACCATGGTGTAATAACCATGGTGGCTTTATCTTGGCGGAACATTGTGTAAGAACCATGATGGCTTTATTATAATACAAGGCAATGAATAAAAAGTTACTCATAATTGATTTATTGTATAATGTATATATTAAAATAATAAAATATCACATTCAATCATAATAACTTATTTTTAAGTTGGACAAAAATGCCCCGTTTATGAAAATATGTGGTACAATTTAA